CGCCTTTTGAACCGGCGGCGGAGGCGAGTCCCGAGTGTATCGCCTTTAAGACGGCCCTCTTACTGGCGTTGGCGTCTGCGAAGAGGGCGGGCGATTTGTGTGCGCTCTCCGCCCATGCGTCGTGCCTGTCCTTTGGAGAGGACGACGGCATGGTGGAATTGTGGCCCAATCCGGCTTTTCTCCCCAAGGTCATCACGTTGGCCTTTAGGTTGAGGGTCATCAGGATTAGGGCTTTCCACCCGCCGCCGCATGCCTCCCCCGAGGAGGAGCGGCAGCACCTTCTGTGTCCTGTCAGAATGCTGAGGCATTACCTGGCCATGACGTCGTCATTCAGGTTGGGTGATCAGCTGTTTGTGTGTCTGGGCCCCAAGAACAGGGGCGCCCCGCTGTCGGCTCAACGGCTGGCGCATTGGGTCGCCACGGCGGTGCGGCGGGCGTATCAGACGCAGGGTCTGGCCCCCCCGGTGGGTTTCAGGTCGCATTCCACGCGTGGGATGGCGGCCTCTACGGCCCTTCTCAGGGGGGCGTCGGTCGAGGACGTTTGCCGTGCGGCTTCTTGGGCGTCGTCCTCCTCTTTCGTCCGGTCTTATCTTTCGGATGTGTCGGACCGGTCGGTGGCCCATTCCGTGCTGAGTGCAGCGGACTGAGTTAGACCGTTGGGTCCCTCCCCTGAGGGGGGCCTTCGGTCTATTTTCCGCCCTGGTGCAGGAGCTCTTGGGAGAGGCATCCTACAGGTGCGGTACATTTTGTGTGTGTGGTCGGTCTGGTAGTCCACGTCAGGAGCTCTTGGGAGAGGTGTCCTGTGACTACGGATGACCTACGGCTTGTGTTACGTGGGGGTATCCTTGGTAGGAGTGGCCCCGTAACACGCTTGTTTCTTCTGCCCTGAGTCCTCTCACGTTGTGAGGGTCTTGCTCGGGCGGAGCTCCAATCACCTTCGCTGGCCTGCTGGGAGTACATTTTCCTACGGCCTCCGCGTTGTGTCCCACTAGCGAAGTCCTAAGGGACGTAGCACCATGACGTAGAATTAATAGTTACTTAATGTAACTTAAGTTCTACGAATAGGTGCGTAGTCCCTTAGCTACGAGCCCATCAGGCCAGCCCGGCTTGGCAGAGTTCAAGAGGGGGTACGGCCTTGTGCAGGGGCATTTATAGAGGAAGGTGGCTGGTGATTGGAGCAAATTATTTTGATCTCTCTGGCGCGTGACCTGGGGGTCACGAGTGATATCCCACTAGCGAAGTCCTAAGGGACTACGCACCTATTCGTAGAACTTAAGTTACATTAAGTAACTATTAATTACACGCCGCGTCTCGCAGGTCTCCGCTAAAGTTTAAAAGTGATGTGTGTGGAGCTGATCTAATGACAAGGAACAGCAGCACAAACATTTCATGTGTTTGGGGCCGCGTATTTGCGAGGATTCTTTGGGCTGCGAGACACAGAGGTGCGCGACAGCCCGGTATGTGTGTGTGTACAATACATGTATGTGTGTGTAAATATAAGCTCCAATGTAGTTCTAACCTGCACTAGTGTAGAACTTTGGCGGTAACAGAGGGGAGAGATGATGCGTGTGGATGTTACGTATGGAGGGGGGAAAGTGTTTTGTGTGTGTGTGTGTGTGTGTGCGTGCGCGCGCGTGCGTGTGCGTGGTTGCGTGCATATGTGGAGCGTGCGCCATGAAAGTCGCCCGTAGTCTACTAATGCATGGGCGCACACAGCTAGATACGGACCCGCTCGTCACATCGTACAAATAGGGCTTATTAATAGCCTTATTAAGAGACCTCCCCTCTCCGCTTTTTCTTATTTTTAACCGACAGCTTTGACCGGTTAACGCTGTGACGGTCAACCACCGGTTAAACGGTCACCGATTTACATCCCTATTAGCAATAGTACACTTTTCTGTGGCTTTTCTGTCTACAGCCAAACATGATACGTACTGACGAAGAGGAAAATAGTGAAACACGCAATTGACTTAAAAGATAAAAATGTCAATGTTGCAGCGCACATACAGGACAGTAGTAAGAGACACGTTTGACGTGTGTCATTGTCCTCCAAATTAATGGAAATAAAATAAATACAAACTTGTGATTGCTTTATCTTGTAAAAAGGGTTTATTATATATTATATGTACAGCATATTAGGGAGTACTTTGATGGGTCCCAGTCCTTTTGGTTGATTGCCGCTGGCCATCGTCGTCTTCTGTCTTCATGACGAGCAGGTATCAGATAAAAAAGCTTATGTCCTTGCCTGTTAGTATAATCAACCGCACTGCAAAATGTCAGTTTTGGCTGTAATGCGCTGAAACAGGTTGTTTTGGTCAGGTGTCCGTAGGCTCGCAGTTAGACTTCTGCTGTCTGTCATGGAGAGTGGGCGTGGCAGGGACGTCACATGCAAGGGGTCAATAGCTAATCTTCTTTATATGAAATACAATTAAAAACATCTCACTTTAAAAAAAACTTAGTTTCATAAAGTCTATCTTATGTGTGGTACCTGTGGAACCTGTTTGCTGCGTCGATTCACATACATATGGGTGTCCCCTAGATCCATGGGTGTCCCAATAAGTGCACTCCCTCAGAATTGGGACTCAGTTGAGCTTGACTCGAGATTTAAAACACACATCATTACATTGTTTTGGAAACCCGGATGTGATCACTTTACAAAGAGGAAGTCAACAAAGCAAATTTAAAAAAAATACATTTATAGATTTTATTTTCACACATAATTCCCTTTGATGCTAAACAAAGAGGTGGTGAAGACACGTGTCTATCTTTGACGTTAAACAAAGGTGGCAAAGACAGAGAGACGGCCAGAGGGAGAGAGGGGGAGAAGGGGAGGGATGGGATTCTTCAGATTCCTCAGTGAAGATAAGAGATTTTAAGAACCTTTGGGATAATTATTGGGAGGTAAGTTATTTGACCGCTGATAAAGGTCACAATGTTCCTTAATTAACCAATATAAACAAGAGGCCTACATGAACCCTAACCCTAACACCCCTAGCTCTAACCCTAGGGTTAGAGTTTACCCCGGTCTACATTAGAATCATGTTCAGACGTTTGATGTGATGATTGTGGAAATTTCTATTTCAAACAGTTATTTATCTTTCACTTTGTAACGAGTCTCACATCGTGTTGAACAGAAGTAAATTCACTTTTGATCCATATTCTAGATGTCTCCTGTAAATCCAGGCTTGTCAAGAGAAAGGATATTTCAGTAACCTTAACCCGAAATTGTTTATAACCCTAACCAAAATGTATAGCCTTTAAAGTAGAATGATACAGTTTTAGCTTCAAAAAGGTTCAAAATGTTTAGAGTTTATTCTTTTAATTAAATGGAAACATGTTTCCATCTTGAGATTATTGTCCTGAATTGAACTTTCATCTGTGCTACAAATAAGTTTCAATATTATTATTTATTGCAATAGTTTACCTCACCTTCACCCTCACCCAACTCTAACACTCTTCGTCAGAGTCGGAGAAGTGAACGTGTAGAACAGATCTATATGAACCCTCAGTTGTGGGAGTTGAACATGTTTCCTTTGACTTTAATGGATTCCTTAACAAATCCCAGCTGCAACAATAAAGTTATGAAAGACCAGAGGAAGTGGAAGAAGAGCAGACAAACCAACGCGTGTTCCCTGGAGCTAAAATACTCAAGATATTTACAAGCAAACCCTATATCTAACATTGTACACACTGTAAGTACAGAACTCTAACAATTCATACAAGTACATACCTTAGCTCCAACCCAGATGTGGACTCGAGAGCAGAATACTTAGAAGAATAATCTTAAAATGTAAAAAGTTAAATATTTATGCCATTTTGTAGGAAAATCTAAAACACATTTCACACATGGCTGTTCTAGGGCGAGCCTTTGTTCGGATCGCTTAGTGCAGTACTTCCCAACCGGGATTCCAGACTTCGCAGGCTACGCACGGGTATTACAGGGCAACTTGATGAAGGATTTTAAAAAGACACATAATAATGGTAATGGGTTATGGGATAGGGTTATGTGAAAATGTTAAGCCTAGCGTACATCGACAGAGAAACTGGGGACAACTAGTTGCAAGGCGGCTTTTGGCAACTGAGAGGAGATGGTGGGAGATGATCAGTTGCCGAAATCGGTCGATGTGCGCGCTCTTACAACTGGAGATGATCAGTCGGTCTCCAGTTCCAGTCAGTTGCCCGTGTTCTACTTTTCGGCAACTAGTTGTCCTCAGTTGCCCCGATGTGCGCGCTCCATGCGCCGCTCCAAAAACGTGTGTGTATTGCGAGCCCGCAACAGTTTGTTGTCAGAAAACACACTGTAGTTGAGGCCAGTTGCTGTCGATGTACGCGCTGTTATTCAAGAGACTGGCCTGCGACTCAGAGTTGCCCGTTTTCGCCAGATTGTCGATGTGTGCGGGGCAGCAACTCAGAGGCGACGGATATAATCAGTTGCCAGTCCGATGTACGCTAGGCTTTAGGGATAGGGTTAGGTGAAGGTGGGACCAGGGAGAAGAATTGGGAATCAGGAGTTTAGTGGCGCAGTATTAGTACCAATTGTTTTGAATACATTTATTATCATTTCTATGGAAAAACTGTAGCATGAGAAGTTTTAATAGCAAATACATAGTAAAGTTGAACTGTCTAACATTTTCACAAGTTTCTTTTAACTTCTATTGCGCCACGATCCGTCTCTGTGTGGTCAATCTACGACACTTTGCTTCATAATTTTATCCTTAATTGCTGAAATATTCAAATTTAAAGTACAGTTAATATCAACGAGTTCAATCAAAAGACAAAAAAATAATGAACAGGAAAATACACAGCAATGTGTTTTTAAAAAGGTCCCTCACTCCAACAAACACACCGTGATTTTATATTTGTTTCGCAACTAGTTTAGTTCTGATACTAAAGATGAACTACAGCTCTAACGCTCACAAGTACTTTTTACGTGTAATCCATGGGCTCACATCTCACATAAGGACAATCATCTGAGCTTTAAACCCAGGGTGCATTTCCTTTTAGGGGGAGAAGCCACAGGAAATGTCCCAGACTCCACCTCCTCCTCTCCCCCACTTCAAACACAGCATGAGCCAATCAGATCAGCCCGTGCTAACACTGGAGATGCCTGTATATTAGAGTGTTTGTGTGATGTGTCTCGAACAAATAAAAGAAAACAGCTGGAGTAGAGAGAGTGCAGGGTTAACTCAAGCAGCTGTAAACAATGGGGACCAGATGTGGAAGGAGACCGTAAAGACCCGCCTCCCTCAAGACTGTATGTGGAAGCCCTGACCCAGGGCTTCCACAAGTAATTAACTAAACCCTAACTTAGTAAGAAAGGAACTAAACCCAACCCAAACTGACCCTAAACCCTTAACCCTAACCCAATGTGGCACAAGTTGTCTCTAAAGCTGTTCAAATGAAGTTAAGAATAATCGTCCAACTTATCAATTATAAAATTAATTGTGAATCACAGCCAACATTTTACAAAGATAATTGCAATAATCTAACCCAAGATGTAATGCTCTGGTCTCCCTCTTTCTGGTCTCCCTCTCTCTGGTCTCCCTCTCTCTGGTCTCCCTCTCTCTGGTCTCCCTCTCTCTGGTCTCCCTCTCTCTGGTCTCCCTCTCTCTGGTCTCCCTCTCTCGGGTCTCTCTCTTGGGTCTCTCTCTTGGGTCTCTCTCTCTCTCTGGTCTCTCTCTCTCTCTGGTCTCTCTCTCTGTGGTCTCTCTCTCTCTGGTCTCTCTCTCTCTGGTCTCTCTCTCTCGGGTCTCTCTCTCTCGGGTCTCTCTCTCTCGGGTCTCTCTCTCTGGTCTCTCTCTCTCTGGTCTCTCTCTCTGTGGTCTCTCTCTCTGTGGTCTCTCTCTCTGTGGTCTCTCTCTCTCTGGTCTCTCTCTCTCTGGTCTCTCTCTCTGTGGTCTCTCTCTCTGTGGTCTCTCTCTCTCTGGTCTCTCTCTCTCTGGTCTCTCTCTCTCGGGTCTCTCTCTCTCGGGTCTCTCTCTCTCGGGTCTCTCTCTCTCTGGTCTCTCTCTCTCTGGTCTCTCTCTCTGGTCTCTCTCTCTCTGGTCTCTCTCTCTGGTCTCTCTCTCTGGTCTCTCTCTCTCTGGTCTCTCTCTCTCTGGTCTCTCTCTCTCTGGTCTCTCTCTCTGGTATCGCTCGAGAACGCATCACCCCTGCTCTAAACCGGGGCCAGTGTAAATGTGTCATGAAGCCTAAGCTCCTCACCTGCAGATGGCTGACGATGCAGAAGGGTTCAGGGCGGTGCAGGCCACAGGTGGAGGTGGACGACAGCTGGTGAGCTCGGCCAATCAGAAGGTCTCCTGTTGCCGGGTAACAGCTCCCCTCTGTGCAGACGTCACTCAGCTCCGGGAACAAGACCTCAGAGTCCAACTGGGCCCTGACACAGAGCTGCAAGGCTGAGAGAGAGAGGGGCCAGGGTCAGGGCTGAAGACCACACACATGACAATAACCTCAGAAGCACAATGTGGGCAAAGAAGCTGAGGTGAGCTGTAAGAATTTCAACAAATCAAACACTAGATATTGTGAATTTTTACTTCTTTAAAGTGGTTCTCACCCCCGCTCCTCAGAGCTTACGTCACTCACATTTCCTGTTCAAATCTTTCTCTAAATGGGCGTAGCCTGGAGGACTAATGGTGCTTTCAGACCGGATCGTGCGTTGCGTTGGGTTTCAATGCAAAGTCTATGGTGGCGCGCGTTCGACCGTCACAACGCACGGACCTCTCGGCACGCACGAACGGACTGTTCAATAGAAACGCACGGACTTGGCGGGAAAGTGAAAAGGGAGGAGCAGGAGCGAAAAATCAACGCCCACGGGAGATGGATTCTGCTCATCCTTTCCTTGGGATGTTCGTGCGACAACCAATCAGAGAGCAGCAAAGTGGTCACGGGGACATTAGCGGACTGAGCGAGCAGACTGAAAATACTCGTAAACAGCCAAAACAGGACCCACACCAGGCTTCACCAGAACTCAAACCAGGGTTGACAATGGGGGACTCTGTGCTTGTGAAAATATGCGTTGTCATGCTCCCGTGACCTTATGCAACGGCTTTGAGTGTGTTCACCGATGCGGAAATTCCGTTTAGCAAAGACACACTGCAAAGCTGCATATTGCATAAGATCTGTACACAAGAAGCCGCTAGCATAGCTCTGTTAGCATTAGAGCCGGCCGGCTACTTCCGGCTCGCGTCAGGACGTTCTGGTGTGAAGTCCTCTGCGTCTGAAAACTAGAGAATGCGCGTCTGGTGAGCGGGGCTTCCGCGTTTCAGCGTTGGCGGTCTGAAAGCACCATAAAGGGGGCGTGAACGAGACTGGGCCGTTTACATTGCTCTGGGCGTGGGGCTGCTGACGTCAGGTCTTGCTTCAGACGTCAGGTCTTTCTGCTGCGCCAGTGTTGGCGCCAAATTTCAAAATTCAAATGTAGTAATACATGTCGCCAGTAGATGGCGCCTCACAGAAGGTTTTAGGCAGAAAGTTTAACTTTCAACTAATTTGCACCAAAGTGACTAAATTAGGACCAGGATATGTAGACAACACTATTGGACACTCATTTATACCGTGTATCAGCAAAAAAAAGTGGATTTGAGGGTGAGTTGTCCTTTAAATTAGGCCTCCCTTCAATCTACATCAAGGACTAATAAGGTAAAAACAATTTAATATTTTGTTTTTGCACACTTTCTCAATGTTCTGTGAAGTTGTGAAGAATGAAAGTGAATAGTGCATTAGCAATAGCACCAAACCCCACGTACTGGCCCTTTAAATCTAACCCTAACCTCAGTATAATGCACCCTGCTGGTCTCTGTGAACCAATATTAAAACACATATTGAGAACCCCATGGCTTTGGACATAGACTAATGCTTAGGTGTTGAAAGACCGGCGGTGACCAATTGAATTGAACCTTGTGTTTCTAGTCCCGACTCCAGGTCAGATTTCGCTGCGGCTTTGATCGGACCAGCATAGTTCGGAGCACAGGTACGATGTGTCTAACTTGGGATAATTTTGGGTGCGTTCAAACTAATACACGGGTTTTCTCTACATTCAACAACTGCAGGATATTCTGGACTGTAAGTGAACCAGGTTTTAGAGCCCTTAACCAAACCCTAACCTTGGGGTATAATGCTTATATTTTTGACTCCATCAAGTTCTAGTATGGAAAGCACAATCCAGTGTATCATCTATAGGAAGCTGGCCTTTTGAGGCTCTGAAAAGAGACCAAAGAGAGACCAGAGTCTAGAGAGAAACCAAAGAGAAACCAAAGAGAGACTAAAGAGACCAGAGAAAGAGACCAGTGAGAGACCAGAGAGAGAGACCAAAGAGAGACCAGGGAGTGAGAGAAAGATCTGGGAGTGCGAGAGAGAGAGACCAGAGAAAGGAAAAAAATCTATAGTTAAAGCTCGGGTATCTGGTCCAGGTTTAGCCTTGGTTTAGTCCGGATTATTTCCAGGACACTTGTGATGGGAGTAACTGCACCTTATAAATATAACCCTACTCTAAGAATTCCTTTTACCTACATGTTTACAGTTTTATTGGGATCAGACTTCCGCCAGATCAGAACAAAAGGTAAATCAAGACTTTGATCGTTGAAAAAGATGTTAAACACACATGATTTTAATAATGAGAGTATTGTAAACATAAAACCCACACACCTCCAACAAAAGCAACAAGCACTTTATACTTGTTGGAAAAAGTGCAGACATATTGTGAGCCACATTTTCTCACAATATCCACGTTAATCTCCCATTTTCCCAAAGCAGGAAGGAGCTGTTTTCATCAATGGGAATTTTTCACACACTACAAAAGAGATAAGAGCTTCATTCTGACTGTGTGCCAACCCCAACCCAAACTTCTATTGAATTATATTACAGCCTTCTACAGCTAAATTTTCAGTATACATTTTAATGACAGCCACTACAATGCAATGTATTTCGTGTTTTTGATAAAGTTATGGGAAATCCACTGAGCAAGAACTAACACAGAGCATAAATACCTTACTCATTGTTGTTTTAACATTTTAAAACACACTTACCGAGCATTATCACGACTCGCAGAGAACCCATGCTTCTTCTGTCCTCAGGGGAAAACTCTACAAACTATCCCAAGTATGAGCTCCTCTTCCCGGGCATGCGTCTCTTCCAGTGGCCGCTTGAACCGCTCTGGACTCAGCCACAGAAACAGCGTGAGACCCCCTCCTCCTCCACAGGACCCCAGACTGAGCACGCCCCTTCACAACAAAAGCACACATCTGGCATTGGGCTTTCAAAATAAAAGAACCCGAACCCTTAACCCATGTTACCCATGTTAAAGCTGGGGTACCTAACTCTTTTGACTCCAACTCCAACCCATGTTAAAGCTGGGGTACCTAACTCTTTACACTCTAACCTGTGTTAAAGCTGGGGTACCTAACTCTTTAGACGCTAACGCCTAAAAAAAAGAAAAGCAATAAAAAGGGCAGCATAGTGGCTGAGTGGATATAGCTCCCACTTCTCAGCAAGAGGGTCCTGGGTTTGAATCCCAGTCTGAACAGAGCCTTTCTGGGTGGAGTTTGCATTTCTCCCCGAGCTTGCATAGGTTTCCTTCGGGTGCTCCGGTTTCCCCTACCACTAAAAACATGCACACTAGGTAAAATCCTCCAGCTCTGGTCCTGACCAAGCTGAGCATCAACATCTGGAGATGGGTTCTCGGGCGATGTACTACGGCGAGCACTGCTCCTCACGTAAGCCTTAGTGGCATCAGGATGGGTCAAATGCAGAGAATTAATTGCCCTACAGGGATTAATAAAGTGCACCTTTACCTTTACCACGTTCAAGCTGGGGTTCCTAATTCTTTAGACTCTAACTCTGACCAATGTTAACTAACTAACTCCAACTCTAACCTTAACCCTTGTGAAGTTCTTTATTTTAAAAAAAAAACATCCATTTGCATACAGGTACTTGTAAAATAGAGCCATGAAAGCCATTGTTTGACTCTTTGGGCTGAGAGCTGATTAGCTGATTGGTCCTCTATTTTAGGTTAGGGTGAGGGGCTGCAATAGAACCATAGAAACAGTTTGAGAGCAAGGAACTCATGACAACTTGAATCACTAAAATGTTAAAGTTAGGTACCCCAGCTTTAACATATAGGGGTATTAGTATTAGATAGCAATATGGCCTACGTGCAGGACTGTACAAGGACTCTACAAGGACTCCATGTTATGACTATGATGTGACTGTCTCTTTGTGACACGTATGTCTTTCGATGTGTGACGTGACAATGACTATATAAACTGTGTACTGCCTTTATTCTGTCTGAGAGAAAGAAACAGAGTAAAACAGTGGAACTTGAGAGAAACTTAAATAAACTTCCAGAGTTTGGCACACCACGATCCGTCTCTGTCTGCTTAAATCCTAACAGGTGTATGGGTTAGAGTTAGAGGGATAGGGTATCTGTCGCTGCAATTCTAATGTGCTTTTATTTTGAAATCTGTCCCTGAGCTCCCTCCCCTTTGATCCACCTGAATCCACTCATCTTTCTCCAGGTCAAACTTCAACTCTTTCCCTTTGTCCAAAATCTGTTTTCCATTAACTGTGTCAACTATGCAATATGTTTCAGGTTTAACCCTAACCCACTTAATCTTCAGTCTCATTACATAACCCTAGTCCTACCCTAACCCTAACTCTAAACTCTATCACAGGGACCTAGACTTAACCCCTCGTGTCAACCAATGGATACATGACAGTGGCAGTCCCAAGTCAGGGAGAGGGCCAGTGCTCCGTCTGTCTCCTTCAGAAGACATTCCCCTCATCCTGATCCTATCTCTCTATTCCAGCTGATACTGCTCATGTTAGGCCTAAGAACCACTCGTCTACATTCTTTAGAGGCATTATTAAGTTCTTTTTTCATTCTCCACTCTTGCATATCTCCCCCTTCCCTTTTGTGACCCACACCTCGTCTTTTGTGGCTTCAGGTGAGGCTTGATGTGGCTGCAGCCTGGGGGAGGTGTCTCGGGGGGAGTTTGGAGGTGGGACGGGGCTTTAGGAATGCCTTTGTCTGGGTAAAGCCTTAAGGCTAAGGTGGAGGGGGCTGAATGCCTTTTAATTCAGATTCCTGAGAAATCCTGATATGTTGCTAACCCTAACCCAGTGTGTCATTACTGAGGTTTTAAATGTTTATATTGAATGTGTATAAATAATAAGTTGACATGGCGGCGCAGAGGTTAGCACGCAGCTTCACAGCAAGAAGGTCCTGGGTTCACCTCACGGCCTTTCTTTGTGGAGTTTGCATGTTTTCCCTTTGTCTGCGTAGGGTTCCTCTAAGTGCTACGGTTTCCCCTGCCACTAAAAAAGCATGTACAATAGTCAAGGGTGAATGAGTGTTTGGTAGTGATATAATCAGCCCTGATCATGAGCATGCACTTTCCCAACAAAAGATTTTTTTTGTTATGATTTTGCATGATACGCCTCCTTGCAAACGAGCTAAAGGGGTTAACAGAGTTTAATTGTAAATTTCTCCAATGTGACATCAATAAAGTTTATCTCTTCTTATCCCATCTTAATGCCATCTTTTCTTATAATGTAGAAGGACTTTTTTAACTCCCTAGTTTCTTTTACATTCTAGACCTTTTTAGCAAATGGTTGAGATGCAGTTTGAATGTAGAAGTGCCTTAAACCAAGTGACAGAGATAGGTAAATTTCAGTTTCAAGATTCAAGAATTTATTAGCTATTTGCCGAAAAACTGTGCAAGACTACCCCTGTGTACACCAAGTGGAAATAGTGAATCAAAAAGTGATCCACCAAGGCTGCCATGGTACCTTGAGTTGCAGATAGAGCTCGGACGACATCAGGAAACTTCTTCTCAGGGAATACAGTCACATAGGTTTTTACAAACACACTGGGCCAAGTGGCCCGGATCTTTGCCACAGGGGTGTGAAAACGGCCCGTGGTCAAATGAACGTGTTGAGCCACAGGAAAGCCAGTGCAGAGACCTGAGGACCGGACTTATATGGTCATATCTTCCTGGTTCCTGTCAGGAAGGGTGTTACGAGTTACGGCTGCTTTTGGATGTACTGCAGTGCTTACAGGTCTGTGTTGGAAGGTCATGTAAGCAGGCCATGTGCAGTAGTTAGCCTGCTGGAGACAAATGCATGGACAAGATTCTCAAGTATGCCCTGGACACTATATTTCTATACTTTGCAATGTTCTTCAGATGGTAAAAAATGCGTTGATGGTATTGATTTTTGTGGCTATTGAAATTTAGGTCTGATGTGCCAGTATACCCCAATTTTCTGACTTTTCTGTAAGGGCAAGTAGGGAGAGAGACTGAAGGTGACAAATGACGCCCTCTCTTTGTTTCTGGGGGAACCAAAGTCAATGATTTCGGTGTTGTCTGTATTTGATGGAGGACATTATTTTGCATCCAGTAACTGATCTGTTTGAGATACAGTGAGGAGAAAATCCAGTGGTCCATTTCTCCTGCAGTCAGTGAGACGTAATTCTGAGTGTCGTCAGCCGTTATGTGGTAGGACACTTTGTTTCTTTGTATTAATCTGACCTAACGGCAGGCATGTAGAGGATTAAATAGGAGAAGGTCAGGATCGACCCCTGTGGTACACCAACAGGCAGGGCCAACTCATCTGAGACGCAGTCTCTAAATCTCCACAGAGTACTTCCTATCTCAGTTAAGACCTAAACCAGTTAGGGGCGGTGCCAGTGACACCAGCCCAGTCTCCAGTCTTCTGCATGAGGATATCATGGTCGACAGTGTCGAACGCGGGCACTTAGATCTAACTGACCAAAACTGTGACTTTACCTGCATCAGTGTGAAGTCGAATGTCGTTTGTTACCTTCACTAGAGCGGTCTCAGTGCTGTGGTGGGTCTAACCCAGGACGGAAAATATCAAAAGAATTATTCATCTGTTAAAAATTCCAGTAAGTTGTTGGGCGGCCACTTTTTCATGATGTGCCAATAAATGGCAGATTCGATATGGAGGCGATAAATTTTGAAGTCCCGCAGGATCCGACTGCTCTTTTTTAGGAGAGGTTCTTATGACTGCTGGATTTTAGGGCCTTAGGATATGTTCTGACGAACAGAGACATGTTTACTATTTGTGTTCTGTGAGAGTAAGGTATCAAACTGCTCAGGACGGGACTTCAGAAATTTAGAGACATATATCCAGGTACATGTGGAGGAGCTCAGACCATGGTATCTTTTTGACAGGTTTTCAGTATTCCACAGGTGCACAGTGAGTTAGCTCAATAATGCTTTCTGGATGTTGCATTGTTATCGTGCTGTGGAGGTGATACGTGTTTTTGATTTCCTTGTTACTTTGTCTTTCGAAAAAAACTGTGCGAACTGTCATTACACCTAGATTTTAGAGGAATATTTCTAGGGGCAACTTTACAGGGGGGTTCGTTAATCATTCCAACTGTCTGAAAACATAACACGAAAATTGGTACTGCAACCTCTCCAATAATGTCAGAAAAATACATTTCTCATGTTGTCTAAGTAGAACCGGTTAAATTCACCCTAATCATCTTTAAAGATTTTCATAATCGCCTGGAAATTGGACTTTCGCCACTTCCGTTCGGCCACTCCGGCACTTCTTGCTTCTCGTGCCTCACAGAGTCTGCCTTAGTACATGGGGCCTTTTTCTTACTGGTATTATTTTTTAACCGTCAAGGAGCAATGGGTCCAGGAAACAGTCAGTATCACATTGGTGGTGCAGAGTTATAACAATTCTTCAACGTAGAGCATGGAGTTTTTCAAAATTTTGCTATTCCATGAACAGTGACACTTGTGTTTTCATGTAGGGGTCGTCTTCTAACAGTTGTAAATTCAGCTGGTGGTTTGCTAGCAAAACACATGTCAATATAAAAATATACCACAGGTAATGATCTGACAAAGCAAACATCTTCTACATTAACTTTTGTTACATTAACCCCTTTTGTAATTAGCATGTCAAGAGTGGCCCCTGCTGTGGGTGGGGCCAATTCACGTGCTGAATGAAACCTAAGGCTCAAATACAGAATCCTATGCTCCTTTGCATTTCTGTCGTTCAACATTACATCATGGACATTAAAA